TGAATTGGGTTAATTATCACGTTTCGAAATATTATAAATGTAGGCCTATATAGGGTGTAACTGAAAGGTGAGGACAAATTTTGGTCACAAGTTCGGTAAACCAGAACTAGCAAAATGTCTATTTCAACATGGTGTGCAGAAATAGTTGTGAGATGTAACTGAAAGAGCGCATTTATAATAAGTGCTCAAAATTCCCTCCATGAAATTCAATGCACGCCTCGACATGTCTCATCATGGACCGCCGCGTCAGTTCAAAGCTGCCGGGGAGTTGCAGAATGCCTGACAGGCACCCACAGTGCGGTGGGTAAGTGTCTCTCCGTTACCAAGAGGAGCTGCACACACAAAGGTGTTTAGGTGTCCCCACAGGTAAAAATCCAAAGGATTCAAATCTGGCGAGCGTGGAGGCCATGCAGTGGGTCCTTCTTTACCTATCCGAGGGTCCTGATAGATGTTATTGAGAACATCACGCACAGCGCGGCTACAGTGTGCCGGAGCACAGTCATGCATGTACCACGTTCATGTTCTGTCAGTGGTGCAGCTTAGAGTCGCTTTGGCAGATCACGTAAGGGGAAATCTCGGTAGTTGTTGCCTTTAAGCTGATGTGGCAAAACATGAGAGCCTACCAAACAGTCACAGACAATCCCTGCTCAACATATTAATACTATATTAATGCTTTCAGCCATAACTCACAAATTAATGTTTCCGGATACAAGTTGGTATGGACAATTTTTCTTTTTGGGAAGTGGAATTCGCGCCCAAAATGTGTCTGCACCTTTAACGCACACCCTGTATAATATTAGACTTTTCGGACGTTATGCACCATCTTAGTTTTATTAAAAACGACGTTTCGAAAACTTGACTCTGTCTCCGTCCTCAGGTAGAAAGCCTACTCAACTGGGTCCAGTCAATACGGAGATATGAACTAGCTCAATCGATTTATCCCCACTGAACAGGACGTTTATCTGAGAACGGAAACATTGTTCAGTCTCCAAAATGTCACTTTTAATAAAATTTGGATGATGGATAATGCCCAAGATGCCGGTTATTACATTAACACACTAACGTTACTAATTTTAGATCTCATTCAGGCCTATGTATGTAACGTCTATAAGCTTAGTGCTGATCCAACGCAAGCAGCTAAAGAAGAAGGACACATCACAAGACACAGTATACAGAAAATATAGGAAGAACGACTCCCATAGTGGAAGAATAATATAATACGCGATTTTGAATTAAGACGTAGTTATAAGATGATAAATCTTAACAAATTTTAATATGTATAAATTTTTCATACTAAATGAAGAATCTACATTTTAAATCATTTTATAAACGACACATGATGTCGAGCAGTGCAATAGTTTAACGTAAATAACACACCTGAGGATGGCACAGTGATGCCGAAACATGTAGTGAAGTGACATGTGAGAGTGTGTGCACTAGAAGACGGTCAATATATATACATATCATGGACTGATCCATATGCTAATATATTTGTTTTATAAAATTTGTAAATCTACCGCGATGTGCTTCCGCTTACGGGTAGGCCCATATCTGCACACTGTCCGGCATCGTTACTTTAAGAACACAAGGAAAACTGAGACCCATCCACATGATTTTATACAGAGAGTCCCAGAAGGAACGATAAATATTCTGGGGGGTCACAGTATCCGTCATTCTAAGCAAAATTTCATATGTACACATGTTCTATTTGGAGCGGTTTCCAAGATACAGCTATTTCACTATACAGACGAGCAACACGCCGTGTCCTAATACGAGTGGCAAAGTGCATTGATGCTGACGGTGAAATTTTCAAAAATATATTATACCGGGTAAAGTGTACCAACTTTGTAATAGAAACAGTATGTAATATCTCTTTCTTATCAAAAATTTTGGAACTCAATTACTAACAGAAATGAGTATCAGGAAATCTTCCTGGGGGTAAAGAGCGGCCGGCCGGCGCGTAAGGCTGACAACCTCGCCGCCATCAATGAGCAGACTGTGTAAAGAATGTGGAAGCCTCGACGTCTCACAAACCTATAGGTTTCCACGGTCTGTTACAGGGGTAGCTTAATGTCTTTATAGGGTTGCCGCAAAGTAGGATTCCGATGGAATGAATATGCAGCATTTTAAATCGTCTTAGGCTAATAGGTGATTTTAATTGCGTTAGACTTTTTTTTTTTTTTCCAGTGACCATCATCATATCAAAATACTTCGGCCGTCATGTCAGTTTCCTTCTTATGAAGGAAACGAATCGCTTAATCTTAATAATTACTTCATTGACTTTATTAAAATTCTTCGCCACACAAAAATATAAATTTTTACATCAGGCAAGGAAGGGACTGAAGAGGCTAGGTCATTATGACAAACTGGCGAACAATATTAATTAAGGATATTATACTGAATGACGCTAATTCTGTTTCCAAGTTACAGGTTCTTAAGCCTTTGGATGTTCGTGAGGAAAACTTAAATTTCTCAAATGCTGTTCACACCAAGTTTCTAAAAATTCAAATGTTTCTAAGTTAGGGGACCTCTTCAGGTTTATGAACGAGGAACTCCCTTCATGAACATATTCTGAACCTTCTTTCGTTAACAAGGAGCCGGGATAGCGTAATCAGTATAGCGATTGGCTACGGACTGGAGGACCAAGGGATCGGGGTTAGAGACCCGGTAGGTTCAAGAATTTTCTCTTCTTCACATCGTCCAGACCGGCTCTGGGGCCCACCTAGCCTCTTATACAATGGAAACTGGGAGTTTTTATCCCGAGGGTGAAGCGGTTGGGGCATGAAGCTAGCCAGTCACCTCCAACCAGTGCCAGAGCCAAGAAAATGTGGATCAATACATCCACTCCCCCATGCGCCTTCATAGTTTAATGTTTTATTAGACTTTTCTTTACATAGTTAACATTCAAAGAGATCTTTCAGTAGACCTATTTAAAATCTCCATTGATGATTCACAAACGAAAGCAATGAGACAATGATGACAATTAAAACGTAACAGATCCATGAATATATAAGGAATGGGCCTTCCTGGCCCTTGCGCCGCGACCACAGCGATTTATTGTGTCTCAATAGACCCATGTTTCAGCACATTCTGAGGGAACACCAAGGAAACAAATGATGTCCTCTGCTACATTTGTGTAAGTTCTGTAAATTGCGCTCATTACATAAGGATATACCAAATGTGACTTCACGGCAGAGTTGTGATTTGATGATATCTCTTACTGCCTTAAAAATTACAAATAGATTTACAGATTAATTTTGGAAACTGTATCTCAACTGCGTACAGCGGTGAATGCAAAATGAATCTGAGTGATGAACTGGAAGACATGTGAAAGGAAGCAGTTGCCTGCATATTACTGCAGCATTGCCCGAGGGTCAGAGAAAAATCATTAATGAATTCAGTCAGAATAACCGGCTTATAGATATGATGATATTATGGTGATATCTTAATGCAGCCTTTGTTAACTGGAGTCGTATTTATGGGGTGGTAAACGGGTTTTAGCCGGTCACGGTAGCCGAGCGGTCTAAGACATGCACTGTCTTCGCTCGCTCGGAAGCCGAGATCGTGGGTTCGAATCCCACTCAGGGCATGGATATTTGTGTGCGTTTTTCTATGTTTGTGCACAGGTAGAGGCCTTGCGACGAGCTGACTACTCGCCCAAGGAATCCTACCGTATGAAAACAGATGTCAATTTGCTAAATTTTATTTCGAAAAAAGTAGGATTATCTGTTTATTAATGAAAGGAAAAATTATTTCTGACGGTAGGTTATTTCGTTTGTGAATCCAATAAAACCAAGGTTCTGTTAATCTATTTTTTCAAAATAAAACTTTAGACATGGTATAAGAGTAACAAATAAAACATACCGCTTGAATGAATGAATGTATGAGGGGTAGGCCTCCTCGGCCCTTGCACCGCGACCTACAGTGGTCTATTGTACTTGAAACGTACCGCTTACTACAAGCCTGTTCGCTACTTGGGCCTATGATCTGTTTGGAATAACATATTCACTAACAGGCTATGCCCAATATAAATTCCAATGCCGTGTTTGATTTGTAAGCTAGGAGAAATGTGATTGGTATTGTTTGTGACCATAAGACTGATCTGGACATTTAGAGAAAAAAAGAAACATTGTTTTAATTACATAGAACAGACTTACGTTGTGTATTCACTAAACGAAAGGCAAATATGAAATACGGTTTGCCTCTTCAAGGACACTGAACTTTTGTGAAGTAACTTTGAGAGCAATATTGTGTAGAATTCGATATCAGATGAATGAATTAACTATTTACGTGCTGCTTAATTCAATTTTAAACACTCGAGTTTCATTGTACTGAACTGGAGGGTAGAAGGAAGACCATGAAGCAACATTTGCATAGACATTAGGTTCAGGAATTCCATCATGTGAGAGGCTGCCGACAGGACGAACTTATGGTACCTTCTAATGAATGTATTCTTGTTTCTGCGTGCCAGCACAATGCTGATACACATGCATCAATGTAAACATGGAAACCTTTTATCGAGGTACCTTCCCAGTTGAATAAACAATACATTCCTCAGGGTAGGAACAATCTCGACTCCAATAATTCCATAAAAGCATCTTCTGCTATGCATGTGGGTGCAGCAGTAGAAAGACAAGTTTGCTAACAATGGGGTCTCCGAGTTCTTTTTCGTGTGTTTATGGTCACCTGGATGGTCCACGTGTTTTGTGAGCGAAACGCGCCGGCGCGCGCAACTTTCCGAGAAATGCACACACCTTGTTGGGGCCGTCCGGCAGGTCAGGTGACCAGCCGAGGTTCCTCCAGTTGGTGCGTTAGCTCCTGAGTGACACCTCCCCCTATGGTATAGGAATCCCCCTTCTCTTTCTCTCTCTGTCTCACACTGTTGAATCTCTCTTTTCCCCCTTTACTCCCTCCCAACCGAGCTGCAACCTACCTCCAGCAGACACAAACCGACAGATCGTTTGACCGTACACGCCGGCACACCAGTAGGTATGTCGGTTCTGTCATCACTTTCGTACCAGGGGCCTCTTCGTCGCAGCCACCGAGCCAAGTAGTCGTTGCCATGCAATAGACGTCCAGGAAGAAAGGGGTGTAAATAAAAATACATACATCGACAACGAGCAGAAAATTACGTATCGGTAGCCTTCGGATCAATTCGGCTAATTTCGTGGGGGCGGAAATCCATTCCTATCCCCCCCAACCTCTGCCTTTGTACCTCACCACCCCCATCAAACAACCAGGGGACTCGGCAAGGAGAGAAATTATATTTTTTCTTTGATGTGCGGCTCATCCACGTTCATCTGCAACTAGGCAAGTCCTCCGGCTTTCCTCCTCTCCGATCGCCGGCAAAAGTCGTCGAGCCGTGTTATTCGAGTGGAACTGTTTGTCGTGGTGTGTGTGGTGTGCCGTCTCCATGTGACTGATGACCCGCGGCTGACAATGAAGTGGTCCAGTGCACCTCTGGTGCTCATGACCCTCCTGATGGCTCTCGTCACACTCGCCGAGGAGGTGGCCAGCAAGAACAAGGCGCGTCGTGGCCGGGGCAGCAAGTGGTGGTAGGTGGTGCACTGCATGATTCTTACTTCAGTGGCGGCTCTACACACTTCCTCCTTCAACTTTAATTTTTTTATTACAATGTATTATTGTCGTTTTCTTGCAAAATTTCAGACTCTTCATTTCTCGCCACTGGTCTCCGTATGTTACAATTTAAAATTATGTTTAATTTGTAGAATAAACCATGTAGGTCCCCACTGTTTCCATTTTCTTTCGTCAACATTTCATGTTTAATTTATTAGGCATAGTTTGTCAGTGTCCACAATGAATTTCACGCTTGTGTGAAAATTCGAAACTTAACCCTTCAAGACAGATGTCAGTCTCCGATTTCTCTACCGTCTGACACTTCGAGTAGACGGAAACGCCCGATCACTCAGTGTAGGGTTGGTCGGAATTATGCTAATGAAGTAGAATTTCGTTTAAGCAGGCAGTGATTAATTAACATTTTTATGTGATATTATTTATTGCAACTCAGTAATGCAATAATCTTTCTGACGCTTGCTTAGAGTTGTGAATGACCTCAGTACCTGTTTCCATTTACAAGGATTTCATGCGAAACGTTGACAACCGCTATCCCCTGCCATTTCGGCCTCTGAAAAAAATTTTATTTCCTTCGACAAAATAAATTGAAAGCCATTTTGCAAATCTGTCAATATAGGCCAATGATGTGGAAAGCAAATAGGCCAATATACCGGGGGTAACGCCACAGGGGTTTGAAGCTGACCACTTACATCCAGCTAGTGTCAAGGTTCATAAAATGTGGATCTATACATCCACTCCCCCATACGCCATCATGGCGTAGTGCTTAATTAATTAAGTACAGGGACAGTTTTACTTTCATTGACATTTCCTACAATTCTGAAATTGTAACCTCATTTGATAAATCCCCCAAAATTAATCATCGTTAATTGTTTATAGGTGTAAATATTTCCTCTATTCGTGATTTGCAGTAAAACTGAATTGTCGCAATTGTGAGGAATATACACAAAGTCACGCGGTTAGGTAAGTCTGTCACATGCAATGCGGTTTAGTCAAGTTTGACTTGTAGCGACCGGCAATGAGCAGATCCCCCAAACAATTGTTTCTTTGGAATATAAACAGCCCCGTTTCCACTCACTTCGGCACGCAGCCTGAATATTAACATAAATGGTTTGTACAGCTGGCAGCTCCCCGTTGCTTTAATTCTTTCAATTCAGTTCGACATGAAATGGCAGTCAACTCTCCGAACTAGTTCAGCTGCACCGACAGCGACTGGTGCTACTCGGCTCAGTGTACAGTCCTCTACAGACAAATTGTACCGGCGTGAGAAAGTTGAAATTGTGTCATGAAAGGGCAATTGTCCCTTGTAAAATACGGCTTCAATTTTATTTCCGTGATTCCAAGCCATAGGCTAGATATTTTCTTTTATCAAATGACATCAATTATTTCCGTGTGTCTACTCAAACTTAGGTGTAAGCTCTACGAACAGATCTAAGGTCAGTAATGGACTATCGAACTACAGAAGCTCGGAAGCACAATGATCGCCTAAGTGCCCTGCTTGTCTTTTCTACAAGTAATTACCGAAAAGATAGCCAATCGGGGTGGCCGCTCGCCCTAAGGAACGAACCGTCTTCGCTCGCTCGAACGCTGGGATAGTGGGTTCGAATCCCACACAAGGCATGGATGTCTGTGTGCGTTTATTCTGTTCTTGTTGTCCTGTGTTTTGGTAGCGGCATTGCGACGGGCTGATCCCCCGTCCAAGGAGTCCTACCAGCTGTGCATAGGATTAAGAACTAAAGAGGCGGCCAAGGTCCACAAGGGACTGTAGATTATACAGATAGATAGATGGATAGACAGATAGATAGATAGATAGATAATTACTGAAAAGATACAATCTTATGAAAGAAAATTAATCACATATGCAAATGGGGTTCAGTGTTAGCATATCAAACTTCTTCCAGGGAGGGATGAGGGAAATTGTAAGAGAACGGCAGCCCCCTTCTAGGTAGGACTTCTATTAGTGCATTTTTTCTTTCAGTGGTTCTTCCCGCCCATTCAGGGCCCTGGCCTCTTTTTCAGTTCCGTAATCATTTTTCACAGACGGTAGGACTCCTTGGACGGGTGATCAGCCCGTCACAAGGCCTCTACCTAAATACAGAACGACACAAACACAGAATAAACGCATACACACATGAAATATCAATACCTAATGTAGGATTCGAACCCACGATCCCAGTGTCCTAGGAGCGAAGACAGTTCATGCCTTAGACCGCGCGGCTACTGTGACCGGCCTTCTATTAGTGCATAGCTTACTACATCTATAGGGCCTAAACAACTTAAATATTTAAAATTATTAATTCATATTGCGACCACCCATAAATAGTTTTAATCTGCTTTCGGAAACTGCATGTGACACACAGGTCTACACTCAGCGTGTAACTCAAAGCTTACCTAATAATTTTTACTCCTAAATAGGCACACGGGCCTAGAACTGCTTTGAGAGGTTCAGAGGAGTCTGATCATACTCCGCATAATCTTGTTCACAATTTTAAATTCATATTTTCATGACCTGCAAATTTAAATTTATGTACGAGTATATATTTCATATGATGTTTAGACATATATACATTGATCGACCTGTTAGAATTTTCATATTGACCAAAATTGATGTTAAGAATCTTAATTCCTCTTAAACGCAGTAACATTAAATATATCCAACACGTTTTCGGAAGTACTTAAATTTATGATCTATCAGATAACGAGCAACAGAATAGAAGGCTGGACCGTGCGTGAGGACCAGAAGTGATCCGTGTCAGGTTTGGTACAGACTGTCTCTTGCGATATGTGGATTTGTGTGTAAGATTACCAAAACAGTTTATCACTAGACAGGAAAATAGTGAGTGTTCCTCCTCTACTCCGAAATGTGAACTGCTTTCATCTTAGGATATTCATCATGTTTTCAAACACGCACTAGCTAACAACATTTTCCATATAGTCATGCATTAGGAGCACCACATCAATATGAAATATGTTCTGGACATTTTGAGCCTGCATCATAAATTGAATTTTTGTAGTCGTAATATCAAATATGGTATTTACATTGACATGATTGGATAAATAATTAAGGATTCCACATAGATATCTTGAGATGCCATTCATTTTTTATTTAGTTACAAATAATTTAAAAATATTATTCAAAAAAATCATAGAATTTATAAAATATTAGGAGCTCTCAGAATTATTAGGTCATTGATAATATTCGAAAGATATCTGTAAAGTAAAGATACGAAGTCCAGAAAATTTTTGTAACGCATTTTATTGGAGGGATTAACTTGTAGCACTTTTACAACACACCTTTGTTTACTTTTCAACATAGTCACCATGGATCGCAATGCACNCTGAAGATGGAGGCGATACGTTCCTCTGAAACTTCGGTTAACACCACATATACACGGTGCCAAATCCCAGAAGACTGCTTTCTTCATAGTCACTGCCGTGAAAGCTTCAAATCTTACATTGCTGATGAAGTTCTTCGATGGTTAAACGTCTGTGAGCAGGAATGTTTTCATCATTTTTTGGATGATTTCATCAGTGACAACGAATGGCCTTCCACTTCATATTCCATCATGAACATCACTTCTTCCCGTTTCAAATTCACGAAACCATTTTGCCACGTTTTGTCTGTTCATAACATGGTCGCCGTAGACAGAAACAAGTTGGCGGTGAATTTCAGCAGCAGTTTCTCCTTTCGCGTGAACAAATCGAATTACTGCACGAACCTCACATTTGGAGGGATTTTGAACGGACAAGGACATTTTGAACACACACTGCGAGCATTATGTTGCTGTGACTGTAACCGGTGAACTCTGCCCTGTCATGCGGTTCCTATCTCACACGACAGCACTGCCATTTCTGAAAAATTTCCCTTGCATTTTTACAGGACTTGTATCTTTACTTTCCGAATATCTCTCGTAGATAATATTTGTTATATTCCTGTTAAAACACCATTTCCAGCAGATGAGGTTTGTTGCCCAGGACGACATGTTTCGACATATACGTGGTCATCTTCGGGTCTGATTTTTAATTAGAATTGTTATATCATCTACTTAGCGTAAATTTTCCATGTCAGTTTGGATCCACCCTTGTGTTACACAATATCTATAGCGATTTAAAGAACAGGACGCAAAAGTCATGACTATTAATAACAGGTTTTCATTACTAGCGAAACAAGACTGTCGGCCTATTATCACTTATTATAGGCCAAATTATTTCAGAAGGCAGTAAGTATTCTGCGAAATTCCTCTGAAAGCAATGAATATTTATCACTATGAATCTATTTTCCGAACAAATTCATCCATTTAGGAAAGCATAAAATTTATCCTCTAACAAACTCATAAAAAAATCGCAATTTATAATTATATAATTTATTTCTCCAGTAGCGTAGTTGGTTGAGCCACTATGCTACAAGCCGGAAAGTCGCGGGTTCGAGTTCCGATGAGGTGGATTTTTTCAATTTACTTAATCCTTCCAGCCGCTCTATGGCCCTGGGGTCGACTCAGCCTCTAACAGAAATGAATAGCAGGAAACTTCCTGGTGGCTAAAAGAGCAGCCGGCGCGTAAGGCTGACAACCTCACCGCCATCTGTGAGTCGACTGTCTATATAATGTGGGATTCTCGACGTCTCACAGTCCTATGGGTCTCCACGGCCTGTTACGGGGATAGTTTTTAGGAGAGTTAAGATGGATGATGATGGGTATTACACTTAACATAGTCAAGGAAAAAGTGCTTTAACAGAATTAGAAATTATCTGGAATGAAGTGGCAAGCTAAAGATCAGAATAGTATTTTCACATGTTATTGACAGTGAAATTTCAATTTACGGTACTAAAGATCTAATTAAGCAATGAGTACAAACATAATTAATTAGTTCTTCCTTCAAGTTTTATTCTTGTGGTAAGTTTCGGAAAAGTACAAGCGTCTGAAAAATCACAACTCTGTTAGAGATGTATTAATTTAAAAGCACG